GGAAACTTCAAAGGTCAAGAAAGATGGGCTTATCTCCTTTACATTCCTCAGGGGACATCTTAGCAAATTCATCAGAACACCTGAAAATGCCCCAAGCCAGAGCAGTCTCAGGGGGTCAGCACACAGGACTGTCCTGTGCACTGAGGCCCATGTCTCTCCTACAGGATTCGGTGGCCCAAATTGGTTTCTTGTACAAGCTGCATTCTGAGAAAGTTCATGACTTGGCCACACTGGGAACTCTATGGTCCTTGAACTTCTACAGCTTCCAAAGAGATCCATTGTACAATAGCCACAATTATGTCAGTCAATGGATCCCTGAAGACATGCTCTGTCTGATGCCTCTTCCTTTAGGTAACAATAGTTCCTACAATCCTGTGTGAAGAGTCTGACCTAGCTCCTGTCTTAGAACCCCAAAACCCCACAAGGGCAAAACCCTTCAGCTTCCATCCAAGTCTGCAGCTTCTTAGAGGCAAAGAAAGGTGTGGGTCACAGGCTCAGATGGGTTTCCATGGGCTTCACTCATGTTTGTCTACTATACCCAAAAACGGCCTCCATGAGCAGGACAAAGGAAGCCCTCTGGAACACTGAATTTCTATATCTGATTTCTTAAATACATGAGGCTTTCAGCTTCCTCTCGAGGACACTGCTGGAGAATTGTCTCACTTGAATGATGGGCCTGACTAAGGAAGCTGTGATGGGGAAACCTAACAAATCACCAACACCTTCACACTTTGAGCACTAATCCAGTATCTAATGTTCACTCCCCAGAGCTCCATAGAAACACAGGAAAGAATACATTGTTGCATTATTATCTGTAACAGCAAAAGTCTGCCAACTGGCTTTCCATTTGTATGGAGGAACTGCTCTATAAATTAGAGCACATTTGCACTGTGGTACCCAGTGAAGAAGAAAGCCTGGCTTAGTTCAGTCTATGGGACTCCATGAGGTATATAAAGTAGAAGAAAAGATGACAGAGAATAGCATGTATAGTAAATTAACTTTTATGAAAGGGTGAGATTGGAATAAAAAGCCATATTTCCAGGAACAGAAGGTAGAGGACATCCAGACATCCTCAAGACATTCTTGAAACATAACTCTGAATACTCAAGCACTGAGATCAAGACAATGGCTCAGCCAGTAAGTGTTTGCCATGCAAGCATGGTGCCCTGAGTTCAAATACCCATCCAATACTTATGAACAGTTACGTGCTGTGGTGAATATTTGTAACTACTGAACTTGGAGAGGGAGTAACAGGTAGATCCCTAGAGCTCAATGGCCAGACAACTTGTCAGACTCAAAGAGACCCAGGTACTATGAGAGAGCTTGTCTCAAAAATAATGTGGGGAACAAGGAAGGAACACACTCAATATCCACCTCTGACTAACACACACACACACACACACACACACACACACACACACACACAGAATTGCTGTATACTGACACCTGCATATTATACTCACACACACAAACAAATACCCATGCATCCTCTGCACATGCTATGGAGGGAAATAAAGCAAAATAATAATAAAGAGTTCCTGAGATAAGGAGATATCACCCCAGTTGTGTAGAAATTGTTTCAAGAAATCTGAAGAAGCAGATATGGATGTGGGCTTTTCCACCCCAGGGCCTATGGCCAGAAGAAAACAGAAACAAAACTCAACATTTCCTTCCAATACTGACTCCCAGGTTAGACTGAGCTGTCGCTTGTGACAAGTCTTACTGCCAGAGCTAAAGGTATACTTAGTTTTATGACACCAAGACATGAACCCAGACACACCTACCCAGAAGCTGAATTTTGAAAGTCTATACAAATTTTAAAACGTGTCCCCTGCAAAGGTAATCTGTTGCATTAGAAGGTAGTTCTGTTGACGGTTCAGCCTTCTGCCACACGAGGACATAAGTACATTTTAGCTCTGGAAGGCCTGCCTTTGGGCTGCCATGTCTTATGGTGCCTCTGGCTAAAAGATGTTTCCCAGTTGGGATACCAACTAAAGGGCCTTCCCTTGACCCACCAACCCACTTCTCAACTCCAAAATCCCATAGACTCAGAGTCAGAACCCCAGTGAGGGAACTCCCAGAGCCAGGTCCCCCACCCTCCCACCTGTCAGCCACACCACCTACCACTCACCTTGAGGACCCTGTGGAATCTGGCCTGGAACACCAACCAGAGTGGCCTCAGGACTGAAAAACAAGCACCATTCAATTGCTCCACAGCCTGATAAATTGGGGTAACACTCAGCAAAGTCAAGACTGGATATCCATACCAAGAAACACCACCACTGATTTACTCTAAATGCCTAGATCTCAAATACAAGACAAGTATTTCTGCTCCAGAAGTTAGCACCTTCACTATGGTATCCCTGAGAAAGGCAACTTAACTGATACACAAAACAATGATTTCAAAACAGTGATTGTAATATGTCCAAGGAACTCAAAGAGGATATAAATTAATGTTCAAATGAAGAACACAAAAACATAAACAGTTGAATAAAATAATGAAGACAGTTCAAAATACAAAAACAAATCTTAATAAAGAGATAGAATATCTAAGGAAAAGCCAAAAACTTGAAAAACTCAGGAAGTTAAACAAAGAGCTCTGAGGAAAACTTCAACAATAGATTGATTGGACCAAGGGAATTTCAGATCTTAAAGATGGGGTAGAAGAAATAGACCATTCAAAAAAAATGCTAAGTTAAAAAAAAAATGAGGAATAAAACATTCGGGAAACCTGGGACACTGTGAAAAGACCAAATATACAAATAATGGGCATAGAAGAAGGAGAGGAAACTCAGTTCAAAAGCACAGAAAATATTTTCAACAAAATTATAGAAGAAATTTTCTCAGATCTAAGGAAAGAGATGTTAAATCAAGGTACACGAGACATACAGAACACCAAGTAAACAGGACAAGAAAAGAAACCTCCCATTAACACATAATAATCAAAGCACTGAATATACAAATCAAAGAATGGATATTGAAAGCTGCAAGAGAGAACAAACAAGTTACATATAAAGGCAGATCCATAACAATAACACCTGGCACTTTAGTAAAGACTTTGAAAGCTAGAAGGGCCTAGACTGTGTCATACAACTTAAAATAGAACTTAGATATCTAAAGAAGGCAGGCACAGGGTTAAGTGATTGACATCTTGATGTTACAGGTGGCCATGGCAGTGGCCCAGAAGATCTCTTAATGACAATGCCTGAGTGTTGTGGAACAGAATATTTTTTTAACTAAGGAAGGATTGCTACATTTGTTCATGTTGCAGAATAGCTGTTTAACTATGTAAAGATGTATTACCCGTTTACCTTGTCTGCCTAAGGTGCCTGATTGGTCTAATAAAAAGCTGAATGGCCAATAGCTAGTCAGGGGAGGAGCAGGAGGGGCTGGCACTGGCAGGCAGAGAGAAAGGGGGAGCCAGCCAGCCAGCTGGGGGTCAGGAGTGACAAGCCAGGCACCGAGGAAGCAGGAAAGCAGGGTGGACAGTATGTAGATGAGGTGAACAAGCCTCCAGGCAGCACATAGGTTAATAGAAACGGGTTAATCTATGTTTAAAAAAAAAAAGAGCTAGCTAGAAACAAGCCAAGCTAAAGCCAGGCATTCATAATTAGTGGGCCTCTGTGTCATGATTTGGGGGCTGGTGTCCAAGAAAACCTACACTTAAATGTCCTGGGTCCTGGGTATTTGTGAGCTAAAGGATGTACAAGCGTACTGCAAACATGAAGGAACTGCAGCTGCCATCATTCATAACACCAACTTTGCCCACAAGCTCCACGTTCCTCACTGAGATGTTGCTGCCCTACAGAAAGGACGTGCTAAATGTTCAGGATAAAGGGAAAAAACCACATTTGACACAAGGAATTTAATCCTCATCTTTGGTGGCCAGGACCACTCAAATGTTAATTTGTTATCAGGCATCTGCCATAACCCTTATACATAAAAGCACTGAACTCTTGCCAGGATAATACTGGTCCTGGGCTTCCAAATTCTTCCAAAGCAGAGTATGGCCTTGTCTACGGCATGCTGGAGGAGGCCATCAAGGCTCTGGATGAATTTTAGCTTAAAACCACCTGATTCTCACCCTAGGACTGTGTCATCCAATGTCTGCCTTCAAGCATGTGGTCCCTATGGCAGAGCCAGGAAAGTACATGGCTGGTTTATCTTGCAGAACTATATGGAAGGCAACTTACTGCCCCCTACTGGACTGAAGAACTTGGGAAGTATGGAAGCGTGGATGTTCAGCACTCAAGAGTGGAGCTGACCTTGTGTAAATGCAATTTCTATAGCAACACAGTACTGGCTTGGAGACAGGAATACCTGTGTCCTCTCCTCTCCCGTGTTCCAGGGCTGTGGCAGTGATGTGTAGAGCTTGGAACTGGACTGGATGAGTGCAGTCTTGGTGCTACACATGGCCACAGCTGAGCTTCCCAGGAGGAGCCTGAATTTCAAACCACAGTATCCTGAGGCATGAGCACTCATGAGTGGAGATTGGTACACACCTCCCTGGTGAATGGGGAAGAGCTGCAGCCATCTGTAATAGCAACTTCACAGTTACTTCCTCACTGAGATGATATTGCCCATGAAGAAAGATGTGTTGAATTTTCTCCATAAAAGAAAAACATCTCCTGGGATGGCAGTCCAGGAGCGCTCCAGTGTCACCAAGTTTTCTGTACCGTGGCCCACCTACATTAGAGCACTTTCCCCTGAGCCAGAGGGATAGCCATGAGTGCTGATCCATCTCTTAAAATATGGCCTCTTCTAGAAAACCTAAGGCCAATAAGCCTTTGTTGGTTTTTTTTCTTGATGTTCCCAGCTTCTTCCTACAAAATAATCTCAGCCAGTGTGTGTCATTCACCAGTGTGGCCCTCCCATGGTGTAGAACGCACCAGAGCCATGGGAGGTTTATCATTCAGCAATATCTGGAAGATGTCATCATACACCCCATGGGTCCTGAGATCCTTATGGATCATGGGAGTGCATATATTCAGAACTGAAGAATGGAGGGGCTCTGGTATAACAGCAAGTTCTACAACAGCCCAGAGGACTTGGCTCAGAAATATGCAGGTAGAAAAGTGACAGAGCAGCCTCCACTCTTGTCCCCTTGGGGACGTCCTCATGCCCGCAGACATGGCTGACCCCAACACAGGGCAGTCCCACTTTCCTTACTATAGCCTAGAGGGCAGCAGTGTACTATGTGGAGGCTGAAGTGTCTCCTTCCAGCTGAGGTCCTCTTCTGGGCTACAGATCTTTAACATGAGTTTTGGGGTGAACATAACACCTATGAGGTCAGCCTGTGGTGTTTATGGAAGACACCCACAACTGTGTGTATTCAGACCCAGTGCATGAACATAGGCTGAGGCCTGAGCATGTCACTAGGAGTTACTACCTGGCATTAACTGAACCACAAACACATTCCTAGATGCTATACACAAGATCCTGGATTTCTCTATCAGGTGGGTTTTTCAATGTCTGCGGCTTTCAGCTCTCTCTTATACAAAGGAATTGTCCCACCCCAATAATGAGCATGCAGAAGGAGGCTGCTATGTTCCCAACAAAATCACCAGTGCCTTCACCTGGTCATTTCCAGCATCCAAGATTTACCCCCAAAGATCTCTCTTTAAACACACAGGGGCATTTGTGGCGCTGTCTATAACAATAAGTCTGGTAACAACAGACTTTCCATCTGTATGAGTAACAGGCCAGTACATTAGGGCACAGCTGCACCCCAGTGACAGATGATGGGGGAAACTATGAATGATGACAGTCTGTATCCTGGAGGGGACACTCTGCAGGGTAAACTGAGTGGAAGAAGAAAATGGCAGAGAATAACATGTATCATATGCTAACTTTGGGGAAGGAATGAGAGGATACTAAAGATCCAGGTCATAGGGATGAAAATTGGAACACATTGAGGTGCCCTCAAAAAGCTGGAAGACAAGGAAACTGATTTTTCTCCTGACAGAAACACAGCCTTGAACACCTCTAGAGATGGAGGTGTGCTTGTCACCAGCGTGAGGACATGAGTTCAGATCCCCAACATGAGTAAAACTGAGCACAGTATGCCATGATTTTAAGCTGACTTTGGAGTTGGTAGACAAAAACAGGTAGATCCACTGAGCTTTCTCGCAGGCCAGTCTCAAAGAGTCAGTGAACTCCAAGTTCAGTGAGAAATACTGACCCAAAAAATACAATGAGGAGTGAATGAGGCACATGATCAGAAAGCTAGAAAAAGGTGGAAGAAAAGTGAGAAATGGCTTTCAGTCCTCAAGCTGTCCTTAGCATAGCAGGGTTAGCAACAGTCTGCCTGCCTGCCTGCCTGCCTGCCTGCCTGTCTCTAACTCTCTCTCTCTCTCTCTCTCTCTCTCTCTCTCTCTCTCTCTCTCTCTCTCTGTGTGTGTGTGTGTGTGTGTGTGTGTGTGTGAGAGAGAGAGAGAGAGAGAGAGACATACACACACACACACACACACACACACAATTGCACACTTACAGCTTCCTTAGATACAGTGAGGTAGGACAATTCAAGAACAGCCTCCATGAAAGGGACCTAAACACCTCACTGAAAAACTCGATACAAAATGCAGTATCTCATTCATTTGGTTTCCTTTTCCCTAGACAGATGGGGAAGGAGGGAGGAAAGGAGGGAAGAAGGGAGGAAAGGAGGGAAGGAGGGAGGGAGAGAGGGAGAGCGGGAGAAGAGAAGAGATTGGGGGGCTCTGTTAGGGTTTATCTTGCTGCAACAAAATATCATGAACAAAAGCAACTTGGGGAGGAAAGAGTTTATTTGGATTTAGCTTCCACATCATAGTTCATCATCAAAGCAAGTCAGGACAGGAATTCCAGTAGGGTTATTTGGTGTTTTGGTGATCACATGAGCCCCACTTCCTTTCAAAACAGTGTGCTGATTGTCCCAATGTCATGCAGACCTAGACTTCATTTGTAGACTTGTTTTAAGAGGACTTTCAAGTCTGTACCAGAGCTGAACAGGAAGTGCAGAGCACTAACTGTTCTTTTCCTGGCCGTACAGCTCCCCAGCCAGCAACATCCCCCCACTGGCCTGTGTGCCACAAAGTCTGAGCCACAGGGGCACCCCTTTATCACCTAAACCAATGCTGGGTGCCAGGGTTCCTGTTTGCTGTGCAGCCACAGGATCAGTGACAAGGGTATGTGACAGGCACCCGTAAGTGGTGTATCAGAGAGTGCTCCCCTCCCCTCCTCCCCCCCCCCCCCGTCCCCAATCCTCCAAACTTTCCATCTTCCTCCCTCCTGCACTTGTATCTGGGCCCGGCTTGCTTATTACTTTTTTAAAAAAGCAGACTTCCAAAGGTGGGGAGAGGACTCAGATGTTAACAGCATTTTTTGCTCTTACAAAGGTTTGGTTTCCAGCACCCACATGGAGGCTTACAGCTCTTTATAACTCCAGTTACAAGGTATCAAATGCTGTCTTCAGATTTCCATGACAATCTTAACATGCCATGTGTATACATGCACTCAAGCATATACATATATATGGTAAAATAAAGTAAATCTTTTTCATTGTTTTTCAAAATTAAATACTAAAACCAGGGCTGAGTCCCTGTCCTGCTCAGTCTGTATTATATAAAAAAGGTCCTTGTCTCACCCACTCCTGTCAGACTAGACCTTTAAGCCATAATGGATGTGAGGCACAGCCCTTGCCAGCCAACTCCAAAAGGGCAAGGGTGTCCAACAGAGGGAAGTGCCAGGCTGGGACATTTCCTCAGAGTCAAATAAGCATGAGACTTTACAAGTAAGAGACCAGGACAGTGATAAGACTTCTCAAAACGCCCCATGACTGCGATCACCAGGGCCAGCAGACATGAGGACAGACTGCCGAGGCTCCCAGAAGCTCAGCAGCTCACAGACAATGGGGCACACATTTTTCACTGCCACAGCCAGGAGAAGTTTGCTATCGGAAGGCTGAATACCTAAGTGCAGAGGGACAGTGAGTGGAACATGAACACAGTCAGGTCCAGGACCAAGACAAAATCTCTTGGTAGATGAAGGTTCTAGATCCATGTGGGAACACCCTGAGTCCCTGCTTGCCTGATCTTTGACCCCCATTCCTGGGCCTCTGCCAAAGAAGAGACCTCCTACAGAGCTGGGATAACCTAGAGCTACAGACATCGACCTCCTGACCCACCTAAGCCCACTGGGGGAGTAGTGTAGAGAGAGTGATATCCCACCTGCACCCACTGGAAGAGGAGATGGGAAGATGGCAATACAAGAAAACACCTAACAAGTAAGAAGGGAACGGGGTGGGTGGGGGCGCGGAAGCAGCAGCTACTGGGAAGACTGCAGGCTGGGAAGCTCCTGTGAGCGCCCTTCTCGGGACAGAGCACCGGAAAGGGACCCCCACAGTCACCTGTGTTTGAAGGTGTCTATAATAATTCCAGGATGCTGCATTTCCTAACTGCTGTGGTGGGTTCTACTTGTGATGTAAAGGTGAAAAATGGCACCACTTACGAGGGCATTTTTAAGACTCTGAGCTCAAAGTTTGAACTGGCAGTAGACGCAGTGCACCGGAAAGCATCTGAGCCAGCAGGTGGGCCTCGGCGGGAAGACATTGTGGACACCATGGTGTTTAAACCAAGCGATGTTCTTCTTGTCCACTTCCGAAATGTTGACTTCAATTATGCTACTAAAGACAAGTTCACTGACTCAGCCATTGCCATGAACTCTAAGGTGAATGGAGAACACAAAGAGAAGGTGCTTCAATGCTGGGAGGGCGGTGACAGCAACAGTGATGACTACGACCTGGAATCCGATATGTCCAATGGATGGGATCCCAACGAGATGTTCAAATTTAATGAAGAGAACTATGGGGTGAAGACCACTTATGACAGCAGTCTATCTTCTTACACGGTTCCCTTGGAAAAGGACAACTCAGAAGAATTTCGGCAGCAGGAGTTACGTGCAGCTCAGTTGGCTCGAGAGATTGAGTCAAGTCCCCAGTACCGCCTACGGATTGCCATGGAAAATGATGATGGTCGAACAGAGGAGGAAAAGCACAGTGCAGTTCAGCGGCAGGGGTCTGGGCAGGAGAGCCCCAGCTTGGTGTCCAGGGAGGGGAAATATATCCCTCTGCCTCAACGAGTTCGAGAAGGTCCCCAGGGAGGAGTTCGATGCAGTGGTTCTCGAGGAGGGCGGCCTGGCCTTAGCTCTTTGCCCCCTCGTGGCCCTCACCATCTTGACCACAGCACCCCTGGCCCTGGGTCTGAGGCACGTGGTATAAATGGAGGCCCTTCCCGCATGTCTCCCAAGGCCTTTGAGAGGTGCCAAGACTTTATCTTCTCCCAACAATAGGCCTTCTGGAGAATCGTCCGTTCCTCCAACACCTGCAGCTCTCCCTTTTCTTCCAGTGGGCCGGATGTACCCTCCACGGTCTCCCAAGTCTGCTGCTCCCGCCCCAGTCTCCGCTTCCTGTCCTGAGCCTCCCATTGGTTCAGCAGTAGTGTCCTCTGCCTCCATCCCTGTGACATCATCAGTTGTGGATCCTGGAGCAGGCTCTATTTCCCCAGCATCACCCAAAATCTCCCTGGCCCCCACAGATGTAAAAGAACTTCCGACCAAGGAGCCCGGTAGGACTTTGGAGGCCCAAGAACTGGCCCGAATAGCTGGGAAAGTTCCTGGCCTTCAGAATGAACAAAAACGATTTCAGTTGGAAGAATTGAGAAAGTTTGGAGCCAAATTTAAGCTTCAACCTAGTAGCTCCCCTAGATCCATTTCCTTCCCGGATCTTAAAAGAAGAGGCCAAAGGAAAGGAGAAGGAAGTGGATGGCCTATTGACTTCAGATCCCATGGGATCCCCAGTTTCTTCAAAGACAGAATCCATATTGGATAAGGAAGACAAACCACCCCTGGCAGCAGTAGGGGTTACTGAGGGGCCAGAGCAGCTCCCACCATCTTGCCCCAGCCAAACTGGCAGTCCCCCAGTGGGCCTCATCAAGGGAGATGACAAAGAGGAGGGCCCTGTTACTGAACAAGTAAAGAAGTCTACTTTGAACCCCAATGCCAAGGAGTTCAATCCAACAAAGCCTCTGCAGTCTGTGAACAAATCTACCAGTACTCCAACTTCACCAGGGCCCCATACTCACTCAACACCTTCCATACCGGTGCTGACAGCAGGCCAGAGTGGGCTCTACAGTCCCCAGTACATCTCATATATACCTCAGATCCACATGGGACCAGCTGTGCAGGCGCCTCAGATGTATCCATATCCTGTTTCCAATTCGGTGCCTGGGCAGCAGGGCAAGTACCGGGGTGCAAAAGGCTCACTTCCCCTGCAGCGCTCAGACCAACACCAGCCAGCCTCCGCCCCTCCGATGATGCAGGCTGCTGCTGCTGCTGCTGGCCCACCCCTGGTGGCTGCTACACCTTATTCTTCCTACATCCCCTACAACCCACAGCAGTTCCCAGGCCAGCCTGCCATGATGCAGCCCATGGCGCACTACCCTTCACAGCCGGTGTTTGCCCCTATGCTTCAAAGTAACCCACGAATGTTGACATCGGGAAGCCACCCCCAGGCCATTGTGTCATCCTCCACTCCTCAGTACCCCTCTGCAGAGCAGCCTACCCCTCAAGCCCTCTATGCCACTGTTCACCAGTCCTATTCACACCATGCTACACAGCTCCATGGCCACCAGCCGCAGCCAGCCACCACACCTACTGGGAGCCAACCACAGTCCCAGCATGCGGCCCCTAGTCCTGTTCAGCACCAGGCAGGGCAGGCCCCACACCTGGGCAGTGGACAGCCACAGCAGAATCTGTACCATCCAGGGGCCCTAACAGGCACGCCGCCTTCTCTACCACCGGGACCTTCTGCCCAGTCCCCTCAGAGCAGCTTTCCCCAGCCAGCTGCTGTGTATGCCATCCATCCCCACCAGCAGCTGCCCCACGGCTTCACCAACATGGCCCATGTTCCGTCCTCGCTCAGTTGTGAACCAGCAGCCCCCCTCCCCACTGCCTCCCCAGCTCTCAGTGACCCCGACTGAGTTCAATCTCATCCCTCCCAGCAGCTCCCCTCCCACCCCCCGGGGAACTGAAGATTGTCCTGGCGCGACCTGAGACCTCCATGAGTGGAGGGAAGAGTGATCTATGTCTCAGCTGCTCGGACCAGTCCTAGCCCCGCCCCTAACCCCTTTCCCTTGGGGAGCTGGGGAATTCCTGCCAAGCACCTTGAATGGGAGGGGGTCCTTGAAGTGGGCAGGGCTGGGGTCCAGCGGGGGTGGGGGTGGTTCCTGCTCTGCCCCTGCCAGGTCCCACTCAGTCTTGTCCTCCCATCCTCTCATCTATCTCCCCCCCCCCCCCCCCGCTGGAGACGGAAGATCTTTTATTTTCTATTATTTATAACCTCAGACTTGGGCCCCCTGTTCTTCCCCATTAATTTGAGTGTCCTGTGTGAGACCGACAGACAGATGCCTCAAGGGCTTTTACTTTTTATTACATAAAAAAATTTAAAAAAAAAACAATAAAAAAAAATAAAATTTTAAACTTAAAAAAAAAAAAAAGAAAAAAGAAAACACCTAACAATAGAAAGACAAGCATGACACCACCAGAATCTAGGGACTCTATACCAACTAGTCCTAAACACACCAAAATAGATGAAGCAGAAGAGAATGACTTAAAAAATTACTTCATGAAAATGATAGAGGCCCACAAAGATGATATGAGAAAATTCCTTAAAGAAATGGAAGGAAAAAAACCAAACAAAAAATGGAAGAAATGAACAAATCTCTTAAAGAAAGTAAGTGGAGCCAAGAAAAAACAATCAAACAGATGAAGGAAACAACTCAAACAGTTCAAGACATGAAAACACAAACTGAGGAAGTGCTGGAAATAGAAAAACTAGGTAAATGATCAGGAACTACGAATGCAAGCATAACCACAGAATACAAGAGATGGAAGACAGAATCTCAAGCGCTGAAGATAAACTAAAGGAAATAGATTCATCAACAAAAGAAAATCTTAAATACAACATATCCTTAATACAAAAGACCCAGGAAATGTGGGTCACCATGAAAAGGCCAAACCTAAGAATAATAGACATAGAAGGCGTCAAAGAAACTCAGCTCAAAGGTGCAGAAAACATGTTCAACAAAATCATTGAAGAAAACTTTACCAATCTGAAGAAGGACATGCCCATGAAAGTACAAGAAGCATACAGAACACCAAATAGACTGGACCAAAGAAAAAAGACCCCTCAACACATAACAATCAAAACACCTAACATACAGAATAAAGAAAGAATATTAAGAGCAGCAAAAGGAAAAAGGTCAGCTAACATATACAGGCAGACCTATCAAAATTACACCTGACTTCTCCATGGAAACTCTCAAGGCCAGAAGGTCCAGGATAGATGTTCTACAAGTACTAAGAGTCCATGGATACCAGCCGAGGCTACTATACCCAGCAAAACTCTCAATCACTATAGACGGAGAAAACAAGATAGTTAATGACAAAGCCAGATTTTCACAATACGTATCTACAAATCCAGCCCTACAGAAAGTTCTGGAAGGAAAACTCCAACCTAAGGAAGTTAAGTATACTCACAAAGACATAAGAAATAGATAATCCCACTTCACCAGAAACCCAAAGGATAAAGCAGGGCAAATATATTCACAATACCAACAACAACAAATCTAAAACAAACAAGAATTAATAATCACTGGTCCTTACTTTCTCTCAACATTAATGGTCTTAACTCACCTATAAAAAGACACAGGCTAACAGAATGGATACGAAGACAAAATCCGTCCTTCTGTTGAATACAAGAAAGACATGTAAGCTTCAAAGACAGACATTACCTCAGGGTAAAGGGTTGGGAAAAGATTTTACAATCAAATGGACCCAAGAAGCAAGCAGGTGTAGCTATCCTATATCTAACATGTTGTACTTCAAACCAAGATCAATCAAAAGAGATGAAGAAGGTCATTTCATATTCATCACAGGACAAATCCATCAGCACAAGGTCTCAATTCTGAACATCTATGCCCCAAATACAAAGGCACCCACATTCATAAAAGAAACACTACTAAAACTCAAAGCTCACATAAAACCTCATGCACTCATAGTGGGAGACTTCAACACCCCACTCTCACCACTAGACAGGACCAACAGACAGAAATTTAACAAAGAAACAACTAACAGAAGTTATGTTTCAATTGGGTTTAACAGACATCTACAGAACATTCCGTCCAAACACAAAAGAATATAACACCACGTGGAACCTTCTCTAAAATCGACCACATACTAGGCAACATAAGAAACCTCAACAGATACAAAAAAATCGGAATAGTCCCCTGTATCTTATCAGACCACCATGCTTTAAAGTTGGATTCAAAAACTCAAGTTGCAGACTACAAACTCATGGAAACTGAACAATGTGCAAATGCACCACACCTGGGTCAAAGAAGAAATAAAGAAAGAAATTAAAGACTTCCTAGAATTCAGCGAGAATAAGGACATACCCAAACTTATGGGACACCTTGAAAGCAGTGCTACAAGGGAAGTTCATTGCACTAAGTGCCCATATGAAGAAAACGGAGTATAGCCACATTAGCGAATTAACAGGACTGAAAGCCCTAGAACAAAAAGAAGCAAATTCACCCTGGAGGAGTAGATGGCAGGAAATAATCAATTTGAGGGCTGAAATCAATAAAGAGGAAACCAGGAAAACAATACAAAAAAATCAATGCAACTAAGAGTTTTTTTTTTTTTTAGAAAATCAGCAAGATAGACAGACCTTTATCCAAACTAACGAAAAAGCAGAGAGAGAACATGCAAATTAACAAAATCAGAAATGAAAAGGGGGACATAAAAACAGACATTGAGGAAATCCAAACAATTTTCAGTTCATACTTTGAAAACCTGTACTCCACAAAATTCAAAAATTCAAAGGAAATGAACAAATTTCTGGATAACTATCACTTACCAAAATTAAATCCAGAACAGATAAATAGACCTTATAACCCCTAATGAAATAGAAGCAGTCATCAAAAGCCTTCCAACCAAAAAAACCCCAGGACCAGATGGCTTCAGTGCAGAATTCTACCAGAAATTCAAAGAAGAGCTAATACTAATACTCCCCAAATTGTTCCCCACAATAGAAGCAAAAGGTTCATTACCAAACTCTTTCTACGAGGCCACAATTATGTTGGTACCCAAGCCACACAAAGACACAACTAAGAAAGAAAACTACAGACCAATATCCCTGATGAACATCGATGCAAAAATACTGAAATAAAAAAAATATATACTGGCAAATTGAATCCAAGAATACATCAGAGAAATCATCCACCATGACTAGGTAGGCTTCATCCCAGGGATGCAGGGATGGTTCAACATAGAAAAATCTATCAATGTGATCCACCATATAAACAAACTGAAAAAAAAAACACATGATCATCTCATTAGATGCTGAAAAAGCCTTTAACAAAATTCAACACCCTTTCATGATAAAGGTCTTGGAGAGATCAGGGATAACAAGAACATACCTAAACATAATAAAAACAATATACAATAAACCAACAGCCAACATCAAACTGAATGGAGAGAAGCTTAAGATGATTCCTCTAAAATCAGGAACAATACAAGGCTGCCCTCTCTCTCCATATCTCTTCGATATTGTACTTTAAGTTCTAACTAAAGCAGTAAGACAACAAAAGGAGATCAAGGGGATAAAAATTGGAAAGGAAGGAATCAAACTGTCACTATTTACAGATGGTATCATAATTTACATAAGTGACCAAAAAACCCTACCTGGGAACTCTTACAACTGATAAACACTTTCAGCAAATTAGCAGGATACAAGGATAATTCAAAAAAAATCAGTAGCCCTACTATACACAGATGACAAAGGGGCTGAGAAAGAAATCAGAGAAACATCCCCTTTTACAATAGCCAAAAACAACATAAAGTATCTTGGGGTAACACTTATCAAACAAGTGAAAGACCTATATAGCAAGAACTTTGTGTCTTTAAAGAAAGACAATAAAGAAGATACCAGAAAATGGAAAGATCTCCCATTCTCTTGGATAGGTAGGATAAACATAGTAAAAATGGCAATCTTGCCAAAAGCAATCTACAGATTTAATGAAATCCCCCATCAAAATCCCAGCACAATACTTCACTGACCTTGAAAGGATAATAATCACCTTTATGTGGAAAAACAAAAGACCCAGGATAGCCAAAACAACTCTTCAGGAGCTTCAGGAGCCATCGCCATCCCCGATTTCAAGCTCTACTATAGAGTTACAGTCCTGAAAACAGCTTGGTATTGGCACAAAAATAGACAGGTAGACCAATGGAATCGAATCAAAAATCCTGATATCTTGATTTTTGACAAAACAGTTAAAAGTATACAATGGGAAGAGGAAAGCATCTTCAACAAATGGTGCTGGCACAACTAGATGATGGTGTGTAGAAGACTGCAGATAGACCCATGTCTATCTCCATGCACAAAACTCAAGTCCAGATGGATCAAAGACCTCAACATAAATCCAGCCACACTGAACCTCTTGGAAGAGAAAGTGGGAGGTACCCTTGAACAAATTGGTACAGGAGACCGCTTCCTGAACATAACTCCAGTAGCACAGACACTGAGGTCAACAATTAATAAATGGGACCTCCTCAAACTGAGAAGCTTCTGTAAGGCAAAGGACACAGTTGACAAGACCAAACGGCAGCCCACAGAATGGAAAAAGATTTTCACCAGTCCTACATCTGACAAAGGGCTGATCTCCAAAATATACAAAGAACCCAAGAAACTAGTCAACAAAACAACAAATAACCCTATTAAAAAATGGGGTACAGAACTGAAGAGAGAATTCTCAATAAAAGAATCCAAAATAGCTGAAAGACACATAAGAAAGTGCTCAACATCCTTAGCCATCAAGGAAATGCAAATCAAAACAACTCTGAGATACCATCTTACTCCTGCTAGAATGGCTAAAATTAGAAACACCAATTACAACTTATGTTGGAAAGGATGTGGAGAAAGGGTAACACTCCTTCACTGCTGGTGGAAGTGCAAACTAGTACAGCCATTTTGGAGATCAGTATGGCGGTTCCTCAGGAAAATGGGAAATTAGTCTACCACAGGACCCAGAAATCCCCCTCTTAGGCATATACCCAAATGATTAACAGCCATGCAACAAAGACATCTGTTCAACTATGTTTGTAGCAGCATTATTTGTAATAGCAAGAACCTGGAAGCAACCTAGATGCCCCTCAACTGAAGAATGGATAAAGAAGATGTGGCACATCTACACAATGGAATATTACTCTGTGGAAAAAACAATGGAATCCCAGTCACAAAAAGAGAAACATGGTATGTAACCACTCATATATGGATTTTAGACCTAGAACAAAGGATCACCAGCCTATAATTCATACCGTCAGAGGAACTAGGATACAAGAAGGGATCAAAGAGATTCATACGAGTTCCCTAACAGAAGGAGAAAGGAACAAGATCTCCTGAGCATATTGGGAGTTGGGAGGTGAGTGGGGAGGGAGCTAGGAGAAAGAGAAGGAGAGGAGAGGAAAGCACGTAAGACTAGAAAGATTGATGGGCTGGAGAGATGGCTCAGCCGTTAAAGGCTAGGCTCACAACCAAGACTAGAAAGATTGAGTTGGGGAGGAATAGACGAGACAAAGAGAAAGAGAGACAGAGAGAGAGAAAGAGAGACCATAAAAGAGGGAGCCATTATAGGTTTGAAGGGAAAACTGACTCTAGAGAAATGTCCAGAGACCTACAAAACTGACCCCAACTAACAATTTGAGCAACAAAGGAAAGGCTACCATAAATGCCCTTCCCTGATAATGAGATTGATGACTAACTTATCCTTCATCATAGAGCCCTCATCTAGTAGCTGATGGAAACAGAAGCAGACACCCACAACTAAACACTGAGCCAAACTAGAATCCAGATGCAGAGAGGGAGGACAAGACCAAGCTACAGAAACCCACAGAGACAACTGACCTTAACAAGGAGGAGTTAATGAGCCCCCAGACTGATAGCTGGGACACCAGCATTGGACTGACTCAGACCCCCTGAACATGGGTCTCGGTTAGAAGGCCTGGGCAGTCTAAGGGACCTCTGACAGTGGAACCAGGATGTATCCCTGGTGCACAAAAGGACTTTGGGAGCACATTCCCCATGGAGGGATACTCCCTTAACCTAGAGGCAAGAGGGAGGGCCTAGTCCATACTCCAAATGACTTGAAAGATTTTGTTGACCCCCTCCTGGAAGGCATCACCCTCCCTGTGGAGTGGGGGCAAATGGGATGGGAGGGTGGAGGGGGCATGGGAGGGAGAGAGAGCAATGTAGGGAGGGAGAGGGAACTGGGATCAATATGTAAAATAAGAAAAAAATAAATAAAACATAAAAAAGAAGGTTCTAGCCAACTTTGACCAGATCACCAGAATATGAACTAGTTATAAAGAGCTAAGAAAAAAAAATTCCTTTACAGAAGAAGCCAACAGGAAAGTTGGGCCTTTTTTGAGCACACAAGTTGTGTTCCCCGTACTTGTGAGTGGGGCATGTGACATAGGAACATACATTTTCAAACAGAAGATCTGAAATGTCAGTGATGCTCAGGTTCTGTGCACAGAGCCCCCTCATGTCCCTGATGAGTGCCTACGCTTCCCTTTGCCTAAATACTACTGTTCTATATTGAAATGCACCCTTGAAATGGGCTCAGTCACACAGATCCTTGAACCCCTCACTATGCCTATGTTACCAACTTTCTCTCCCAAAGGCTTAGAAGTTGTATTGGTAGATATGCCAGGTGGGAATGGGCATAGTAAGATTACATTTTCTCTGCATTTTGATCAGTTGTGGATGTCTGTAACAGTTACCATCTGTTTCAAAAAGAAGCTTCTTTGATAAGGGGTGAGAGCTACATTTATCCATGGGTATAAGGGTAAGTATTTAAAATACAGTTAGAAATTATGTTGTTTTAGGAAAATGGCAGTAGTAAGTTCTCTATGACCCCAAATCCATGTGTAGCTGTCTGGGTATACAATACCAAGCATGAATTCCCTTCTTTTGAGGGAATCTTAAGTATAATTAGATAGATATTGGTTACCCTAAGATAAAAATGCCACTATTACACCATGGGGATATCTTGTCAGGCTGATCACTACTGGTGATTCATAGGCTCTATAGTTGTGTAGGACTTTAGATTGCTTTTCTCCCTTGGCAGATGAAATTGCACCCTTTGATACTGGGAGAGCTAGTCCTTAGAGATGAGGCTTCTGGGCCCAAACCAGCTCGATTCTTCCAAGTCCTATGTCCAAAGTATGAGGTATTTGTCAACAGGTTCTGGCCTTCAGATTGTAGGAAGCAACCAAGAGCAAGGTAGTCCCTATATTATTTGGGGAATCTCTTGGACCACACCAACAACTTGAAGGATGGTACCCCATGTGTCTTAGTTTGGTTTCTATCACCAAAATCAACTTAGGGAGGAAAGGGTTTATTTCACATTATAACTTACAGTTCCTCATGAGGGAAAGTCAGGTTAGGAACCTAGAGACAGAAGCTAAGCCAGAGGCCATGGAAAAAATGGTGCTTACCGGTTTGCTCAAACTGCTCTCTTACACAACCATGACCATCTACAGGTTGCACCATCCCCATAAGCTAAGCCCTCTGACATTAATCATTAATTTTAAAAAATGCTCTATAGACTTGCCTATAGGCAATTTTAGGGAGGCATTTTTTTAATTGAGGTTCCTCTTCCCATATAGCTCTAGCCTGGGTCAAGTTGACAAAAGAAAAACCAGCTAGCACACTGTGCCTGCCACTAGAATTATATAATATGTAACATAATATATAAAATATAGTTTTCAGTATCCATATAAAATAATGTTTCCCCTTTCAAACATTCGTATGTCTTCTTCTACCCTCTGTATCATTTTTCCTCTTATACTTCAAACATAAACCTAAATTTCAACATTCATCCACATAAAAGGTAAGTAATTTGTTGCATTAGAAAGGAATTTTGCTGTCACTAAAGTCCTCACTCCCACCCAGAGTTTGTAACCCTTGCTGGGCTAGCCTTGGATTACTATATGACTCATGGTGTCCTTAGCTCATGAATGTTTTCCAATTGTTTGAAAACTAAAAAGGTAGAAACAATGGGAGATATCCAGATAAGAAATTTTCAGATGGTGGAGGAAATAGGTGGATGCACACAGGGGTCTGGACTGCAAGTGAGGCCCTGGGTTTCCAGCTCTCACTTCAGCTGGGTAAGGAAGGGACAGTGTGCTCTGGGTGCTGCCTTGGAGAAATACCCAAGTTGTCTTCTCTCGTCTGCTCAGTTCCAGAGTCATGGGAATGGCACAAAGGAGCCTGGCACTGGGCTGCATGTCCATCATCTTGGTTCTACAGATGGAAAGGCCCTGGTGTTTGCAGACCTGAGCACTCAGGAGATAGAAGCTGTGCATGGTTCCCTAGTGAGCAGGCCAGAGCTGGAGCTGCAGCCATCGGCATGCAGGCTTTAGACAAGAACTCTGTGTTCCACATTGGCATGCTGCTGCCCAAGAAGAAGGATGTCCTGGAATTTCTGGATAAGAAACAACATATTCTGTGTAAGAAGCCCATGTCGTCAGATTTACTGGTGCCCAGTAATGCCATTGAGTTTGCTGTGGCCCTGGCCACAGTCCTTCTACATAAGAGAATTGTCCCCCAGGTCAGTGAAACATGAATCTTGGACACCCAGACCCATGTCCAAAGCATAGTCGTCTTCCCTGCCACTGAATCAAGTGGGTCATGGTGACCTTGCATTCACTCATCCTTGACACCACCAGCTTCTCCTTAGAGAACTGCAGCAGTCAGTGCCTAACCTCCACCCATGTGGCCCCCACAGTGTGGAGTCTAGACATCAGACCACCTGGTTTCTCTTTCAGTGTATTGAAAAATACCACCTACTGCAGCCCACAGTATTGGAAATCCTTGTGGATCATGGGAGCACAGATGTCCAGAACTGGAGTGTAGAGCAGGTCCTGTGTAATGACAAGCTCTACAACAGCCCAGAGAAACTGGCTCAGAAATATGTGGATAGGGAAGTGGACATGGTGGTCCTCTGTAACAAGTAAGTTTTTTCCCCAGCCGCTGGTCTGGTCCCGCCCCGGCGCCAGCCCCAATTAACATACTGAGACTCTGTATTTGATATAATGCTGTTGGCCAGGTACTAGTTTCTTATCGGCTAGCTCTGTCTTAATTATTAACCCATTTCTATGTATTTCCATGTGGTCGTATCTTACCAGGGAGAGGTGGCTGGCAGATCTGTTCTCTCCAGACTCTCCATCTTGACTCCTCCTTACTACTTCCTCTTTCCTCCTTGTCTCCTAGTCCCACCTATCTTGCTTTCCTATTGGCCAACAGTGCTTTATTTATTCACCTGTATGAGAAACATATTTAAAGAATGACATCTCCCATCAGTCCTCAAGGACCTATTGTCCAAGAGCACAGAGAAGTCATGAATCTTTTTTTGCAGGGGGGGGGGGAGACAAGGTTTCTCTGTATTGTTTTAGAGCCTGTCCTGGAACTCGCTCTATAGACCAGGCTGGCCTTAAACTCACAAAGATCCACCTGCCTCTGCCTCAGCATGAGTGCTGAGAAGTCATGAATCTTTAACAAGCTTGGTGGAGAAGTCCCAAGACACCTCAACAAGTCTGGCCCCATGTGGAACAAGTCAATGATCCCTGATATAGTCTAGGAGACAACACTAACACTGCCATCTACCAAGGCTGGAGCTACCTTAGGAATGTGCATATTGCCATGAGGTCAGTGTTCAAGAGGCTATGGCTGTGTATAGTGAAGACACACATGCAGGATAGCTGACCAAGACCACAGACATGAGCAGGGGCCTGGGCAATGCCATCCATGAATTAGCTCCTCTGTCATTGACTATCCAAAGACAACCACCTCCTATAGAGTTCTTCCACTACTATGACACTAGTAGTCTTGTCCATTATCCATGGTTCTTCTTTGTCTTTGAGAAGGCCATAAGGGTACCTGATAAGCCCATCAACTTTATAGGCAAATTCAACTCATATAGACACATAATTGTAAAGCAAACAACTCCAGCAGTCTATAATTTTTATTATATCTGGAACTTCATTTTGTGTACAAGTGGCATGATAAAAATACACACCTCCAGCTAAGTTCACACCACACCATACACCAGCATATACAACCAGAACCACCCCAGGACACACACACACACACACACACACACACACACACACACACACACACACACACACGGTCTTTGAGGATTTCCTTCAGAACAATGAGAGTGTTGAAGACCAGGTACAAGACCAGTACCTCACTCCCCTCCTCTGGCCCTGTCATTACCCTCCGACTTAACCTGTCCCTAGTCTTAGGAGTGTGGCCTATGTGTGGAGGGCAAGTTATGGAGCTGAGGTTATCTAGAGGAATTTGTAGACACATCTAACAATGTCCAGGCCATAGTGTCCTTGGTAGGACCATAGTCAGTGCTTCCTTGCTCACTAAAGCCTCTGTCTCTCCCCTAAGATTTGGCGGCCAGGAAACAGTGGGATTCTTACACAAGGCTCTTTCTGAGGTTGTCCCCAGCATGGCCCCAGCTGGAAATTCCATAAACATCTTGCTCTAACCTTTCCACTTCTTTTATATCACTGTAACTTTTTTTTTTCAAGGACACCCAGGTACAACTGCCACAGGGAGACCAAACACTGGATCCTTGGGCACGAGGTCTACCTGATGCCTCCCCCTTTTAACCTTCATAGGACCTACAACCCTTTGTCAAGTGTCCAGCCCCATGCACCGTCTAATAGCCTCAGAGCCCCCCAGGGCAGACAGTAAACCCTTCAGCTTCTACCATGTGGGCCACTTTCTAGAGCTGTGGAAGACATGGCCACATACTAAGATGGGTGGCTACGGAATGGATTCATGTCTCTAGTGTACCCCCAAAAGACCTCCATGTCTAGGGCAAAGGAAGACAAGTGAGATACTGAATTTTTGTGTTAGATGAATTTTTTACTGTCTGAGGTGTTGGGTCCCTCTCATGGAGGCTGCAGGTGAATTTTCCCACCTTACTGATGTTGTACTTAAGGAAGCTGCATGTGTGCAACTGTGTGTGTGTGTGTGTGTGTGTGTGTGTGTGTTGCCAGCCCAGTCACATAATAGATAGCTTGACTGAAAGCCGCCCTTCCCTTTATCCTGCCTTTCCCTAGCTGACCGATGGTACTGTGCATGCAGTTGGGACTCAGTGATTCTTGCTGAGTAGGAGCAGAGGCAGCCAGAGCACAGCTCAGGGGCCCACAGAATAGGGCACTGAGCAGGCTGCAGGAAAGCCGGGAGAACAAAGGAGCAAGAAGGTCACTCCAGGGCACTCCAAGGAGACAAGGGGCGGCACTGCCAGGAGGCGGGTTACAGGGAGTGGACATGTCTGATCTGAAGCAGAGAGAGTCACTGACTGCTAAGTTCTCCCTCACTCTATGGCTCCCTTGTCTTGTGTCCCTTCCCTTGCCACCCACTTACGTCAGAGGAGAGGGTTCTGAACTGCTTCTTCCTCCTCCTCTTCCTCCTGGGCAAAGCAAAATGACCTTTGGAGATAAGAGGTTTCAAAGAGGGCAGTCAGCCGTGAAGGACATGGAGGCGCAGAGAAACCACTCCCTTCTGTAGGAATCATGCTGGCAATGGCTGGCAGTGGCTGGCAGGAGGCAGGGGCAGTGAGAGCTTCAGTGTGAACACCCTCAGCCCTGTGGTGGCAGGCGCCTGTCATTACACATTTGTCAGGATTCACTGGGTACATGGCAAGATGAACCTTGGCATACATTATGGGTTTGAGGTGACAATGGAGTGTCTCTGTGGCTCAGCCGTTGTCATGCATGGACCAATCTGGTGGATGCTGGTAGTGGGAAGGCTTGGGGAAAGGGTCAGAGACATGGGGTAGCTCTCTATTCCTCCTTCTCAAATAGCTATGATGCTAACCCTCCTCTAAAAACTGAAGTGTATGGCCCCATCACCATGCCTGCATGGGAGGGAGGAGGAATCATAGGGTCCATTCTTCCCTGGGGAGCTTTAAACGGTTCATGGTTGCTGGAGTCATATTCCTTGGCAATGGAACCACTGATAAGTTGCCCCTGTCAAGTAAATAAGCAGCAAGTGTACTTGTGCAAGCAGCCTCATTAACTCAGTGAGCTACAAGAAAAAAGGCACAAAAGTAAGAAAAGGGTCTGTTGGGAACAGGAAGCCATTTAGCTGGAGGTGGTGCCACAGGGTAGGACAATGGCGGGATAGTTAAAGTAGATTTTATAGAGATGTGAAGTGTAAAAGAATAAACAAATTTTTAAAAACAAGAAATCTGAGTTGAGTATGGTACTGCATGCTTTTAATCCCAACATTTGAGAGGCAAAGGCATATTTCTGTGGGTTTACAGCTAGCTAAATCAATATAACAAGTTCCAAACTAGCCAGGGCTGTAAAGGAAGCCCTGTCTCAAACCAAAACATGAAGTCCAGGTCTTCCCAAGATTTGGCCTGCCGGTACCCTGCCATGAGTGGGGGGGGGGCCTCATCACTCCTCCCTGACAATAAGAGAAAGAAAGATTTCCTTCAGTGGCATATCTCCCAGAAAGTTGCCCATAATCATATATGCATACGTTTTCCCATGCTATTGTAAGCAACACTAATAAAACTCACTGGGTCACTAAAACAAAAAGATATGAAAGCAGAAGGGGCCAATTGGAAAGTGGAAAGAGCTGTGCAGGAGTTAGAAAGGAACAAAAATTTAAATATTATATTTATTATTCACTAAATATATAAATTTGTTTGTTATATATTAATTTGTACATAAATTATTATATCTATTTGTATAATATAACTGCTAAAAATATACAGTTATGTATATAATGTGTTTAAATCAAATCTACTCCCCTCCAAGTCTTTGCCCCTACTTTTCCTCTTCATGTGCCCTTTATTTTTAATTCCTACTGGGTCCACTTAGTTCTGCTTGAATGTGCATTGAGTGTGGGATCACCTACTGGAGCATGTGTAGCTCTCAGGGCCCACATTCCTGAAGAAAACTGACCCTCCCTCCCCCCAGCATCCATCAATCACCAATAGTTCTCAGGCAGTGGTGGGCTTCATGAGCCCTCCCCATCCATGCTGGGATTTGGGTGTGAGTTCATGCATTTGATGGTCCCATCATGTCCAGCAAATACTGTTTCCCTGAAGAATCTAATCCCTTAGATCTTATAATCTTTCTGCTCCCCCTTCTAAAATTGTCTGGAGCCTTGTAGGGAGGAGATGTAATACAGACATTCATTGAGAACTGAGCATTCCAGGGTCTCTTGATCTCTACATGTTGACAGGTGTGGGTCTGTGTTAATCACCGTCTGCTTCAAAAAGAAGTTTCTCTGATGAGGCATGAGAACTACTACGTATGGGTTTTTCACTAGGGCCTATGACCTAGCCAGCCATGGGTATTTGACCTAGGTAACATTAGCAGGCACAGGATCCATTCTGAACAATATAGCAAATTTGAGGTTATGTGAGACAATTACTCAAAAAAGAAAGGAGGGGGTAAAGGAGGGGAAACATAGAAGAAAAAGAAAGGAAGGGAGGGAGGGAGGGAGGAAGGAAGGAAGGAAGGAAGGAAGGAAGGAAGGAAGGAAGGAAGGAAGGAAGGGAGAGGGGGGAGGAGAAGGAGAAGAGAGGAGAGGACAGGACAGGACAGGAAAGAAGAAAGCTCCTGGAGAAACACACCTGAGATTGTTCTCTGACCTCTTCAGATACACATACAAGTACAAGTACACCAGTAAACACACACACACACACACACACACACACACACACGTGCATGAACACATTTATACAGAGAGAGAGAGAGAGAGAGAGAGAGGACATAAAGGGATGAAATACAGTTTTAAATAAACGAATCTTATCCAAAAATAGATAGTAGAACCACAGTGCATTTCAAGTCCTCCCCTGGTTCCAAGTTCACCCAGAGTCTCTTGTCTCTGTCAGACTGAGCCGTGAAAGCATAAGGTAATGTGGGTTCCCTGGACTTTAACCACAAGCACCAGAGCAACAGAGGAAAGTGTTCAGGGTGGGTTGTTTCCATGAAGTCAAACAAGCATAGTATCCCATAGGTAGGAGGCTAGGAGAGGGCAAAGGAACCCCAGACCAACCTTGACAATGATCACCAGGGCCAGCAGACGCAGGGACAGAGTGCCAGGCTCCCAGCAGACACAGGAACACAATTCTGAGGCTCCCAGTGGCCCGGCAGCTCACAGGCGATGGGGCAGGTACAGCACACACCTTTCACTGCCACAGCCAGGAAATCTCGTTCTCTGCACCCTAAATACTAAAATCCTGAGGGTCAGAGAATGGGACATGGACAGAGTCAGACCCAAGGTCAACACAGAAAGTTCCTTGATAGGGTAGGACTTTAGCTAATTTTTAAAAGAGACTGGGTAAAACTTGGCATAGAGAGTTAAGTGAGAAAGTTTGTCTGGAAGGAAGAATCTTTCAGAAGGTTTGGGCCTCTCGTGTACACACAGCATGTGTTTCTAACCCTTAGGAAAAGCATATGCACAACAAGGAAACACATTTTCAAACAGAAAACATGAAGCATCCACAACACTTAGGTTCTGCGGGCCAGTTCCTCCTCCCAGGTTGGTACATGTTCTTTCCCTTGCCTATGTCTTCTTACTTTACCACTCATCTTAGGTGAAATTCACCCAGATTCCAGCCCCTATCCCCGCGACAGTGGAAGACACCCAGCAACATGGGCATAAGGGCCTCTCTGTATTTTTCTCAGTGTGATCTGATCAGGACAAAACAAAGGGAACGAGTTACCTGCAACAGCAAAGTCCTCTCGGAGCCCTTCCACCCACTCACAGGCCCAAGCCATAAGCCAAGACTGAGTCTCACCTACTGGAGTAAGGAGTGCAGCCAGAGACCCTTGAGTCACACCCTTGAGTGACCCCACTGTCACAAAGAGGCTTCCAGCTTGAGACGGGTTCAATTTAGTGTCTGTGTAGAGAAAAGCCACAGCTGGAGTGCTCCAGAGGGCACAGCTGCAGCAAGACTGGATCAAGGTCTGCAGAAAACAGAACCAGTGAGTGTGGCATTTGCCTCCTTCTGTGGAAGAGCCAAGGTCTCCCACAAACTGTG